ATAGTGCAGGACAAAGATTCATGTTCGTAAAGCTTTGCGCAAAAAAAAAAAATATATATATATTGGGCATGGCCGTGGCATTCGTTGTTTATCAGGCTGCTATCTTGTAGTTTTACCGTCTATGACATAGGCCTAAGCAGACTTTACTAAATGTTATAAATGCATAGCTGTGATTTTCTGTGTGGAGTATGTATTGTGTTAAATGCAATTTAATTAAAGTTGGTCTCTGAGTTATAGTATGGTGGTAGGCTAATTGCGATGTTCTGCATTACAACATCAATCTCTAATTCCTAGCCATATGTTCCAAGTAAAGAGATGCATAATTTCACCCCCCCTACTGTGTCCATACAATCTCTATTACAGTCACAAGTAAAAAAAACAATAACTACAATAGAGGTCTATGACCACAAGGAATATGCTATATCAGGCTTTTTTTGCTGGACATAGGCCAACGTGTTCATAGGATCAATGAATATTAGAATTGGCAAATAATTTGCCATAACATCTTTTTATGACACTGCAGCAAACTTTAAGATGCAGAGTTTTTTCCCTTGCTGCAAAAAACTGTCTGGCACACACTCCATCCTGAGTGTGGTGGGTGTGTTTGGTCAGTGCGCCTAGATAGATTATCTGGGAAGCCACATTGCTGTTTTAACCTTGGCAAGGAGGGTGGTGGCACTTTGCTGAGTGGTGAAGTCCCTTGAAAGCTCCTTCCCATATGTTGACTTACAACAGTCTTATTTTAAGTGATGCTTTTGCTCTGTTGAGACCGATGGCGGACACAGAAGGTGTTTTGTGTCAAGATGTTGTTTTCTGTGCTCTTGACATATCTGATGAAAAGGTTGCACTCAGAGTGTGTAGTCAGAGGGACTTGCTAGGACACTGTCTGTGTGATATTTATGAAGTTTCTAAGTCCATCCATAACTTTTATTGTGCTGTTTTGAAATTCAAATTCCAGTTGCTCTTCAGTCAGTCTGATCAGAAGAGGAGAGGGTCTATGATGTTGAAATTGTGAGCTTCATTGAGGGGTACACATCAGCAGCCTGAATGCTCCATTGACATATTTGAACTGGGTCCCTTTTTCCCTAAAATCAAAGCCTTTCTGAGAATACCTGAGTGCTGTGTATAAATATCCCCTTATTACCAGCTGCAGCTACTCGAGAGTGTGATGTTGATGGCATAACAGTGCAATATACAGTCACTAAATCTTACAGGTGCAGAGTGATGTGAGATCCAAATGAAGGCAGAGTGTAAATGGTGGGTATGGTCTGAGCAAGGGCCGGCATAAGGAGGGAAGTGTTGCCCATCTGGTGTCAGGTGACTTATTTATGTATAAAAAATAAAAGCAAAATTCAAAGATTAACTTGAACCTAGCAAAGAATTCAATTTAGGGGGATAGAAAGGAAGTAAGTTAGTACATTTATTACATTTATTGTTTGTTTTTGACATTTACTAGGACACTTTCAAACACCATGTTCTAAAAACAATGTTTTTCTGGTGTAATCACATATGTAACATTCCCTATTCACATGCTTTACAACACACTGTAGATAGTGAAATAAAATATACTTCAATAGGACATTTATATAAAAAAATTCACATTAAGAAAAGTATTGTACCTTAATCCCACATTTGAATTCCATACAAATATATATTCTATGACAAACAAACACCCATGGTGAAAATGATAGAACCTTTTAAAAGTAAAATGTCATTCCCCTATAGTAGCCTATGAAGGAAATGACTTCTCTTTACCACCCTCTGTTTAGTTCTGTGCCCTTGCTACTACACTACATCTTTTTAAATAGTTAATGTGTATGTTGATAAGAAGGATGCATGTTCAGTTTATGGAGAGAAAAGGGGGGGGAAACAGCAGTATTACTTTCCACAGTCCACAGACTTTCTTACAGTCTTCATCTCTCACAGCCCCAGGTGCAGAAAACAGATTTGTGTCCTCAACTAAATGACATGAATTTGGTTGTATTGTGTTACTTAGGAAACAAATCATTTTAAATCAAGTGATTTTCTAACATGCTTGATCTGACAAGGTGGGACTTTCTTATCTCCTCTTCTTTGGTCTTTATTTGTAGGGCTACTGACTGTTGTAAAGGCAACACTGGGTTCAGTTTGCATATTTCCTACTACATGCCTTATGGGTGTTGCTTTCTAATGAAAATGTTCCCACATGTCACCATTTGAAGAAGACACCAATGTGCAAAGCAATATCGTGCTCATATCATATTGTTGCTCACTCAGTATGGCGCTCAGTAAATGACATCCATTTCTTCTTCTGCTGCTGTGCAATCTGTTAATGCATGCAGGGAGAATCGTACAGCTGCTTGATTGTAAGCTCATGCTGATTGTAGATGATGTACATTAGTTCTGCGTTTTGTAAAAGAGAAAACTGATTTCTTTGTGCTTTGTGTGGGGACGAGAAACCTTATTATGCTATATTGTGTGTGCAGGGGTCAAAATTGTGAAATCAGAAGGAGCAGAAAGAGAAGCTGTGGATTATTGTTATTGATTAATGCATCAGTGTTTCTTAGGGTCAAAAACACCAAACTCACAACTTAAAATGAAAGCGTTTAGTTTATTTAATAAAAGAGTGCATAATCAATGTGAAAAGTGACATTAGATATAGATTAGTTGCAATTTGGTGCTATGTATATATTTAAAAAAAGAAATTATAATTTTTTTTTTTTTTTAAACACCTTGAATTTCAGGGGGAGGGCGCAGGGCTCCGTTGGCGGGGCACAGCGCCCCTCCAAGACAAGGGTAGGGGAAACACTGCAATTATTAATACGGTTAAGAGACGGATACCAATTACAGCTCTTTGTCATCACCTGGTGTTTATTCACTTAAATATCCAGCACCTATTTTGAAAGCAGAAGGACAAGGAAGGAACATACAGGTTCACTTTCAGATTGAGTAGCACTAAAATGACTTTTGTGCTCTTTCAAATATTATGTCTACAATATGCTTTTATAGATTTCATTGAAACTGTTAGAACGGGGTACAAAATACTGGACTCAAATGCGACGACTCATATTTTTAATGAGAAAAATAAAACAAAGTATTAACAAAAAATTACTCTTGCGAGGACAAAACAAAACTTCTTGATTTCAAACAAACAATGGTAACTCTCCTCTCTGGTTTTAACGCTGGGTCTCTGGACATAGAAGCACACTGAAACAAGACGAACTGGCACAAGACAAAGGGAGACAAGGACTATTTAAACATGAGGGAAAACAGGTGGAAACAATCAGGGGCGGGGCAGACGCTGACGATGGCGGAAAAACACCCAAAGTGAGGAAGTAACAGGACCTGAAAGGAAAGACAAGAGGTAAGTACAAAATAAAACAGGAAATGGGAAAACGAGACATGACATGAAACATGGGGACTTCACTAGAGATGACCGATATAAAATAGACAGACAAGACGTGACGTAAGAAGAAAACCTGACTCTACATAGAAACCTGACTAGACTTGGAATTACATACCTGACTAAACATGAAATGACAGACATAAAACAAACACCACTAACACAATTGACGAGACACCACAGAAACAGTCTTTGGTTTTAGACTGAAATCGAGGAAAACACTTTTTTTCCTTCTTCTTTTTTATTTTCAGTATTTTCTCCATGTTTTCAATTATGTAGCGCATGGGAATATTTCCAATTAAGCTTCTTATTGTCAAACAAAAAAATGAGAAGCACTACCATTGTTCCTCTTCTACACAGAATCATGTTAAATATCCTGCAAGGCACGAGTGTTATATTGACATTTGAGATAATTTGAACAACACATTGAGGGAATAACTGCTTTAATTCTATCATAATATAAACATAACAAGGCCAAGGTTTCCCCACATCATTTTGTGAGACAGTGGTGGGTGTGTGATACAAATTTGAAATTAAGAGGCTATAAAACAAGGCCATGACGGCTCACAAATGATTATATTCAACTGGAGCACAGAGGAAATAGAGTGAGAGTACTGTGAGTGAGTGAGTGAGAGGAGGCAGGGGATTGTGGCACTGCAGCGGCTTGTCTCAACTGGCCGTTGTAAAGAACAGAAAAAAAGAAAGCGCAGCTGGTACCAGTGTATCTGTGAGGCAGAACATAAGTATCAAAACGTCCCAAATTTCAGAATCAATGATTGACAACACTGCAAGGCAAAAGCCATTTGTCCAATTTGTCCATTTGTAAAATTGGGAACAAATTGTCTGTACAGAGAAAATTATAGTGACGAACGATTGCACATTATATTTCAAATGAAAGTAAGTGACAAGAGTGTCCTGTTGGAGACTTAAAATGTCCGTTTTTGAGTGTTCTTAAAAAACGTGTTTTCATAAGAGAAACTGTAATTTATTAGCATGTGCTTTAATGCAATCTGCTGTCACCCCTTCATTTGTTGTATTTTAGCTTAAACGTGTTCATATGTTTAAAAGGCATCAACTAACTTCTAAATCATTTACACGGCATCCTTTGGCATGTCAACATATTGCCATTAAATCACATTTCTGTTTGCTACTGTATTATATTTCTGTTTTTAGTGTGGTGCCATGTCTCATGAGGTCTCAACACTTTGCCCTGTGACAATTGGAAGCTTGTCAGGCATAGCAACAGTAACTAAGTAGGAATGAGGCTATTTGAATGCACTGCTAATTAGGACCTGATGGTGGATGTTTGAAACCACAGTCCTGCACACGTTTCCCATAACATTCCTGTATGGGAGACCATAAAAGTTAAATACTGTTATCAGCTCAAATGGTTATGTATCCAAAATGAGTTATTTTCTGGAAAGTTTTATTGAGTAATTTTAGCCAACCCACATTCAGGATGGGGGGCTCACGATGTTAGTGTTATTGCATTTTCTTTGAATTTGGAAATGACTTAAAAAACACACTTTTTATGGTGATGCAAAAATAAATCAAGGATTTCTAAAGTAAAATTTGGAATTTGAATGGTCTTAAAACATTTTCTTTGTCTATTTTGCAGGTGAACTTCTCCGCGTATGTCCTCAGGGAAACACATGTTGCACCCAGGAAATGGAGGACACATTTGGCCAACAGAGCAAAAAGGACTTTGAGAATCTTGTTGATGAAATTAGTCATGAATTGAGAAGCACCTTTGTTTCCAGACATAAAAGATTTGACGGTAAGTACATTTTCATTTCTCGCTCAACGCTTCATGCTGACTAATCTTCCCATTTTGCTTCTTTTTTTGTCACCATTGAACAAAATGCTGCTAAAAGGAAAATCAAAAGGATTTTGAATATATGTTTTAATATGAAAAGGTTCACTGTTTGTAGCACTTTTGCTGTCCTCCCCTTAAGTCGAGACAGGATTTGAAAATCTCATTAATATGCCTTGGAGTGGAGAACCCTCTTGTTAGATTAGACAAACATGGTGTCTTGCACAGCAGAGTGACAGCTTGAACAGCAGTACAGAGCCAAACTCTGCATTATTACGGCTGTTTGGTGGTCCTCTGCTCTGTGGGATCTTGTCAAAGCCCTATGGCGACTGTCTTGACCCTCCCACACATCCACTGAGCTACTGCTATGGGAGTGGATGTGTCCTACTCATTACTGAACAAAGACCCACTCTACTGTCCCTGTTGGTAATCCTCCAATTTCTTTAAGTGAATGGCAGGACAACAAAGAAAAATCTTTCATAGGAAAATACACTCATATTGTCTTTTGTTTAAATAGAGGAATAATGGTTTATAAAACTTTCTTAACCAGTTACAGGAATGGCAACCAGATTATAATAACTTTAACCTTGGCATATACCGTATGTTACAAGCCCCTAACTTTAAAACCCCACATCCAATTTAGCTTCCTGTAGTTGATAAAGGTTGAGTATCAACATTTCCAGTTGCGATCGTGAAAAGAAAAGGCAAAGCTGCATCCATGTAACCATCAAGCTTTTGGAACCTTGGGTGTAACGATGGGTGATTCAACAGTGCCAGTTCAAGCACTCTTTATGTATTATTGCACTCTCTAAAGTAGTGGATACAAAGTGCTTTACAGCTGAAGGAAAAAGAGAAATGGAGAAACCGTAAATATAACGTTTAAAAAAGCAGAAATAAAAAGGCTTTCGGTGTGTGCTGAGACTCTGCCGGGAAGCTACAGTATTCCTCTGTTGAGGAGAAGCACAGAAAAAGCAGAATCATCGAATATAAAAGGGTGTTGTTCTATGCCCAATACATACACGTACTGTACCATCAAGATTGATAGAGGTTTGCATTTGATAATAACATCCAGCTCATTTATTTAATAGCATATAGATTACATTTAATGCACAATCTTGTCTTCCTGTGACATGGTTTGCATATACAGTAGCATAACAAACAAGCTTCCTGTTTCATATGGAAGCAAATACACAACATAAATCAAAGTTTGAGTGGTATTAGCATATCAGGCATATCAGTTGACATTTTTCTGCTCTGCATTTTAAATCTATTTGCTCGCTTGTCATCTGCGGAATTTAAATTACAAAACGGCAATCTTTCTGTGAAAATGGAGAAGACTAGGGGCCATGTATCTAGAATTACCTTTGAATTCAAAATTGGTGCTGAGTACTAATTGTACTGCCAGTGCGCAGCTGAGACTACTGATCTGACTAATAACGCACCATTGACTTATACGTCATGTTTTATCAGGTGTTTGACTTAACATAAAAGATCACACAAGTTCTATTTTTATATTGAATGATTGTGGTCACTCAGCTGTAGAGGAACCTTTAGAATATTTGAATTCATTTCCTTGCCCCATATTTTAAACACGGCTTATTTTAATGCATTTCAAGGAGACTATTAAAGGTGGGGTAGGTAAGTTTGAGAAACCGGCTCGAGATACACTTTTTGTTATATTCCATGGAATGCTCTTAACATCCCGATAGCAATGAATATCTTAAGTGCTTTGACAAAAAATCCATAACAAAATGTCATCTGTGGAAGCCGTAGTACTGTAAAAAGCACGACCAATCATCTGAGCCGGCCTGGCTAAAATAACTGGGTGGCCTACCTGCCCGTCAGCCTTCCATCTGTGCACAAACTTATCTCCTGCCCTCATTGATCATGTGCGCGTTCGTGTGTGTTGGAGGAGGGGCTCTGTAAGGAAGTAGCAGATTTTCTCCGGTTGTGTTTTTTCAAATTCTATCGCACTCAAGCTGGTTTCTCCGAAATTACCTACCCCACCTTTAAGTCAAAAATTACTACTGTTACATAATGCACACTATGTGTCAGCAGCTCTTTGTGCCTTAAACCATTCATAGCATGGTGCTTGATCTATAAGCATACTTTTGATATAAATATCTTCATCTTAATCCAACATTATTATAATTTGGTCCAAATGTTGGAGGTTGAAGCATAGAATTTCATAATGGGCTATTTTAATATGTCCAATGTCAACCTTTGAACAATGCTGGAGTGATTAATAGTGCAATCGAATACTCACGGGTCAATAACTTGTCTTGCTTTGCTCATATTTTTCAAATTGTCCAACATATTATATGAAACAAATAGCCTACTATTCAGTTACAGACGCAACTCTCAAATGATTGAACATTGCCCAGAAACTCAATGTCATAATGCCCGGCTGATGTCTGTCTGTTTTGTTTTCCAGGAATATTCACTTATTTAGCACACGTGTGTTTCCTGGAAGCATGAATAAATAAATAAGTGTTATTTTGATCGGCCCCCGTCAGGGTACCGACTGTCATAGGGAGGGCTCCAGTGAGGGAGGACATGGGGTTTGTCCAGCAGCACTTAGATGCATGACTCCAGGCACCCCTGCTCCTCTTGGGGTTTGCTGCCATTCTCCATGATTTCATCAGCGTCAAAGCAGATGCCATATTCGAGTTTCTCCTCCGTAGCCCTCTGTTGTCTGGAGACTTTGAGTCTGCTGAGAGCCTCGACTGACCAGCCGCTGGGGAAATCTCAAATATTGATTGCTGGATTTGAATTCCACCCTTATCTCTTCACGTCATTAATTGAATGTGAGTGTTGAGAGTTGTGTGGTATTATGCCAGAGACATTAGCTGAAATTGAACCAGCCAAGCCAAAAAACCTTCCAGCATTTTGAGCACAATATGTACTGTGTTATAAGATGTGTCATTTCCTTGACTCTATGGTACTTACAGTGGAGGAAATAAGTATTTGATCCCTTGCAGATTTAGTAAGTTTGCCCACTTTTCCCACAGTTAAATACAAATCAATTTGTATCTTTTATATAATGTCAATTTCTGGATTTTCTTTTTGATATTCTCTATCTCATCAGTAAAATAAATTTACTATTACAATTATAGACTGGTCATTTCTTTGTAAGTGGTTAAAATCACAACTTCGGCAAGGGATCAAATACTTATTTCCTACACTGTATATAACAATATTTTCTCTTCATAAAACAGTGTTACCAACATAATTGTAATGGCCTCAATTCTGAGTTTGAACACAGTTAAAGATAAAAAAACAGTACCAATCATTTAGATGCTCTTTACCATCTATTTAGCACCTCGCTCTGGGATCCCACCTACACGGTTCAGTGTACTGTATGTGTATCTTCTCTTCTCTTTATGCAGAGATTGTGATGAGTGTTACTGAAGCTGACAGTAGCCGGCCAGCCCACGCGTACCTGACACCACAGCCTACGTGTCACAGTGAGAGGGCACAGTCTCGACTATGCCAAGATCATCAGAGCACAAATACAGAAATACCCACAACAATACATGCACTGTACAGCTGTGTGAATCTAAGAGAGAAGCTGTATCATCTGAAAAAGAATAGCACCAAAAATGAAGCCACAGTTATTGCAAAAGCTGTTTTTGCCTGTTTAATAATTAATGTTTATTACCATGTCCAAATATTCTCTTCATTATAAAGCAATTGGCAAGTGTATTTATATAGCACCTTTTAACACGAGGTAATTTAAAGTGCTTCAAAGGCATTTAGATAAGGTGCGACAGAAACACATCATAACATTACAATAATTTACGAAACAATCTTTAAAGCCAGAAGAATACAAATATATCAATGCATAGTGTATTCCTATTCCTCGGGAAAACATTTGCTCAGAGAAACTAGATAAAAGGCTGGCACAGAGCTTTGTTTCCCTGCGCGTTAAACACTTAGTCATGGTTCTTAATTGCTAATCAATTGTTGACCCTCCTCTGACCATGAACACCATGGTGCTGGGTAGCCACACAGAATATTAATGTGGTTCACCCTTCACAATTGATCTTCTTTGGAGTAACTGACTTGCGCCGCTATTTCTCGTCAAAAGTTTCCTGGCAGTTTATTAAAAGAATATTAGGCAGATGGTACACAATGGCATCAGTTCTATTACTGCACACAGCACAATAAATGTCACTAATTCAGGACTTACTTATTAATTAATTAATTAATTAATTAATTAATTAACAGCAGACAATGGCTGGTTTTGACCTAGTGTCTAATTTGTGGGGGGGTTCTGTGTTGGCTAATGTAGCCGAATAAAAATGATATGCTCGAAAAATGTGTGAAGCCATAGTCCCGTTAGTTGCTGATGACATATTATCATTTTGTACAATAAAAAAAAAAATGTTTTAAGTTAAAAAGTATATAATAATAATAACGCTAACACTGGAAAGAAATAATTTTACCTGGCAGAAGTTATCCCAGTTTTATTGGTGCTGTATCAACTTCAAATGGGTTAATTTATTTTTTTTAATAAAAAATGAGAGTGAGAATGTGGCAAATGTGTTTTTCCTATCTCTCTTCCCTCAACAGATATTGTTAATGTGCCCTTGAGCAAAGCACTTAACCTGAAATAACTCCTCTAAAGCTTCCAACCACAATAGGCTGCACTGTGCTGGCCAGCCACCAGGTGTGGATGTGTTTGAGATGAATGTGGAGCTGGGTACTGCTGAAAAGGCCATGCTTGCTCAGCAAAACCCTTGTTTAGTTAAGAAGTCCTATTGGACTATCCAGTTGGAGAGAGTAGGTAGTATTCAAGTGAGAAGCTAAAGTATCTCTCTTCACTACAGTGTTTTTATGAACATGCTTGTGACTGTAATCCTTGTCTCCATATGTATAAGATATACTGCAGCGTGGATATGTGCATCGTTACAACAGAAGTGACAGATAAAAGGCAAAAAAATGTAAAGAGAAAGCTAACG